ATGAAAACTTTTTAAAGCAGGATGTACACTGGCCTGTCTTTTCTTGCTGAGCCAGGCTCATCATGAGTGTCAGTAGCCATACTGTACCCTACTCCCGTAATATCTTTGGGGATTATTTGGTAGAGTACGCTACTGAAAAGCACCAAGTGCTCCAGGGCACTAAGAGAAGCACATAGAAAGTACGATGAGTGCACAAGATCAGTGCTACTGAGAAAAAGGAGGTCAGAAGAGGCTTTATGGAGGAGAGGCCCAAGTTGAATCTTGAAATGTCAGTAGATGTTTCTTAGATAAACCAGGAAAGGGCATCTCAGGCCATCGTGAATGACATGATGCACTTCTCAGGTCCCTCTTCAAAACTGAAGGATTAATTTCTCCAGCTGCTGGGAGCTCGGTTCAGACAGCCCTTGGCTGCCCACCTTCTTCGCCAGCTGCCTCAGCTGAAGAGATTGTTCAACCAAGGTCATGCCCTTTCCCTTTCCTGGGAAAGCCCACATTCAATGACTGGTTGATGTAGGGGCTGTAAAGGTCCAGTTCTTCACCCCAACTTGGGCAAGTCAGAAGGTCCATTCCAAGTTTAGATCTCCTAGTGGGTTTCCCAAGGTCTTTGTGAGACACATCACAGCCCAACTTCCCCCTCTGCCCAATCTTGATTTCTTTCCTACCCACCCCAACAGTGTTCCCTAATAAACCTCCTGCATGCTAATTCCCAGCTAGATTTCAGCTTCCTGAGGAGCCCAAGCTGGAAGAGTTGATGCCAGAAGTGGGTCATGAAAGCAGATGCCAGCTGAGGTAGGCTTCTGGAGTCAGATTACATACTGCCAGAGTCCAAGGACACCATTATTCCTGGTAGGCAGAACACAGATAGTGCCTGGCCCAAGGCAGATATGCAATTGTAAAGACTTTCCCTGGTGTTGAACAGAAACAGGATACAGTGGAAGGGAATTTACTAGTAAGTGTAACATGTCAGGTGTTAGAGAAACTGTAACTTGAAGGACAACTATATTGTATAAAGGCTGCTGCCAAACACAACTGATAAAGAAAGGCTGAGAGAGAAAGTGTGAAACCACAGGACTGCATTGGGAGCACTATGAAGAGGCTTTCATTTCCTAAAACCAGAGGACACAGAAAGCTGAGGGCTAGGATTGGTACTTCATCATAAGATTAGTGGCAACGTCAGGTTCTGGACATAATAAGAGTTGTAAAACAGGGTTTACCCTCTAGTCTAGAATAACTAAAAAACCTATACAAAACATACAAAAGTAACTTTTTTTTAACTTGGACCTAAGGACATAAAAAGGAAAATTAGAAAGCATTTTGAACTGAATTAAAAATTATACACACAAAAAAAGGACGTCAAAATTTGCGGGATACAGCTAAAACATTACTTAGAGGTAAATTTATAGCATTAAATACACATAGTAGGAAAAAAGAAAGGTCTCAAATATTGGCCTCCACTAGAAAAAGAATAAATTAAACCCAAAATAAGCAGAAGAAAGCAAATAATGAAGATTATAACAGAAATCAATGAAATGAAAAGCAGAGAAAAATCAATAAAAATTAAAGCTGGCTCTTCAGGAAAATAAAATTGGTAAACCTTTAGTCTGACTTAGCAAAAAAAAAAAAGAGAAGACACAAATTGCCAATATTAGGAGTAAGAGAGGTGACATCATATGTATTCTACAGATACTAAAATGATAAAAAAGAAATCATATAAGTAACTTCATGCTAATGAATTAAAGAACTTCAATTAAGTGGGTGAATCCCTTAAAAGACACTAACTCCCAAAACTCACTCGAGAATATATTGATAAGGTAAACAGCCCTGTATCGACTTGATATGTAGTTAAAAACCTTTCTTTCCACAAATAAAACTATGGCACAGATGTCTCCCATTGGTTAATTCTACCAAGAATCTAAGAGAAAATAATACCCATATACACAAACACTTGTAGAAAATTGAAGAGGAAATAATACTTCCCATTATATTCTATAAGGCCAGAATTACAACCAATCAAATACATTACAAGAAAAGAAAACTACAGACCCATGTACCTCATGGACACGTATTTAAAAATCCTAAGCGAAATATTTAGCAAATCAAATCCAACAATATAATAAAAAGATTATACTTTATAACTAAGGGGGGTTATCCAATGTATACAAGGTTGAGATAATGCTCAGAAATCCATGTAACATACAACATTAATAAACTAAAAAGGTGATAATGTCAGTAGATGCAAAATGGCAGTGGACAAAATCCAACATCCATTCCTGATTTTTAAAACACAACTCGGAAAACTAGAAATAAAAAGGAACTCCACTTCCAAAGGAGCATTCACAAAAGACCTATGATCAACATTATATTGAGTGGAGAAAGACTTTTCCCCTAAGAATCAGAAAAAGGCAAGGAAATCTGTTATCACCACTTCGACATTATACTGAAGGTTCTAGCAATAGGCAAAGGGGAAAAAAAAGACATCCAAGTGGTAGAGAAGAATTATTTCCATTTGCAGATGACTTGACTGCCTACAGAGAACATCAAATGGAATTCACATAAAAAGCTACTCAAATAAGAACGTTTGAAAAGATTGTAGAAAATAAGATCTATATGAAAAAATCAAGTATACTCCTATATATTAACCATTTACAATGGCATCAAAAATATGAAGTACTTAGAAATAAATCAGAAATATATGTGCAAAGTCCATCCACAGAAAACTTCAAAGATTCTGTAGACATATTTTCTAAGATCTAAATAAACAGAGATATATCCCTTGTTCTTGGGTGAGAAGATTCAATATTGTTAAGATGCTCATTCTCCCCAAATTGAGCTGCAGATTTAAAACAAAATCCCAGCAGACTTATTTTGTACAAATTGACAAGATACTACTGAAATTCATATAGAAATGCAAAGGATCTGAATGCCTAAAACATCTTTGAAAGAGAAAAAAAAAATTAGAGGAAAAACACTACTTGATTTCAAGACTACTTATTACAAAGCTTCAGTAATTAAGAGAGTGTGGAATTGACAACGAAGAAAGACAAGTAAATCAATGAATCAGAAAAGAGAGTCCAGAACACATATATATATACGTGCCACTGGTTTATCCAAAGGTTCAATTCAATGGAGAGAGCATAGTCCTCAACAAGTACTGCTGGTACTACTGGATTTCCACAAAAAACAACAACAACAACAACAACAACAAAACCACTTTATCTATATCTCACATCATATACAAAAACTAAGTCAAATGAATGAAAGAATAATGTAAAAGCAAAAATTATTAAATTTCTTGGAAAAAAAGAGAAAAAAATCTACGTAAACTTAGCAAAGATTTCTTGGATATGACACCAAAAGCAAGATCTATAAAATAATAAATTATATCTCAAAATTTAAAACTTATCTTTCATAAATAATTAAGAGAAAAAATATAAGCCATAGAAGGGGAGAAAATATTTGCAAATTACGTATCTGATGACTTATGTCCAGAAAATACAAAGGACTCTTAAAACTCAATGATAAGAAAACAAATAAATATATAAAATGGGCCAAATATCTGAAGACATTTCACTGAAGAAGATACATAGATGGCAACTGTGTCACAGTAATACAAAACACATTCAGTAATATAAAATTGAAAAATAAAGATGCTAGATCTTCTCTAAATCACAATACCTACCAGATTAAATGCACAGAGAGGAGTGAATTAATTTTCCCCTAGCCACTGTCCCCAGGGTTAATATTGTTCCTCCAGAGCAGACAGAACACTAAAAGTAGTGGTCTCTGACTTTATATGAGAATTTGCACCGTGACCTCTCTTTTTCCCACCAAACTTTCTCTTACTCCTAAGAGGCAATATAGCAAACACATACAAGAGTACGGGCTCTGCTTACCAACCTAGATATAACACTTACTGTGTGACACTGGGCACTCTGCTTAACCTCTCTGTGCTCCAGATTCCTCATGGAGATGATACTAGTGTCTACCTCAAATGATTGTGAGAATTCAATGAGCACACAAAGAAACTTTCAGAACACTGACTAGAAGGCATTAAGCAGCTCAGCAAGTATGAGCCATTATTATCATGCTCTCTCAGAGGCTCAAATTGCTCCTTCAGCTGTAGGAAGCTGAGAATTGTGGAAAGAGCAGCGAAAGCGGGAAAGCTTGTATCCTAGGTCCGACATCTCTCCTGACTGATGGGATTTCACATTGGCTGGATCGATGTTCCCTTCTCATCTCTAAAATGAACAGGTACAGTAGATGATCTCTCCAGCATGGTTTCTCTAAAACCTGTAGTAACAATAACCCTGCATCTTTTTCTGGAAAATATAGAAAAGGCAGCGGAAAAAAGGGCACACAGGAGTAGTCAGGAGATGTTAGCAAGAGGCAGAAGGCCACTTATTGGGAAGCACGGGAGAGAGAACATGTAAAAAGGGTTTGTGACACAGCAAGAGAGGACCACTTTCTCCACCCACATCTTTCCAATTTGTCCACTTTGCCTCAGTCCTGTGGGAGGCAGTGTGGTGTCATGCAGAATCCAGAGGATAGCTTCGTGGGTTCTGTTCCAGCCCTGACAGTGACTGTGTGATTTACTCTCTGTGCTTCACCTAAAAAATGGAGATGTCAGTAATCCTTCCCTGCCTTAAAAGGCTGCTGGGAAGATCAGACCGGAGAATGCATGTAAAGCACTTTAACTAAGCCTGGCACGTCAGAGCTACTCATTGGAAGAGTCACCTGTCCTGCTGCCACGACCCGAGTTCAGCCTACTATCTTCCACTTGCACTCCTACAGGGCCAAGTCATACCCATGCACAAAACCTTTTGGTTTCCCTGTGGCTCTTTGGATAAATTTCTAAATCCTAAGTACAAAACCCCTATGAGCGGATCCCTGCCTACCTGTCTGTCAGGACTTCCATCTCTCTTTGCTCTCCATTCCTTCTTTCTGTCTCACCAGTTACAGTCGGTGACAATTTGCCACCAAGAAGCCCAGCTCTTTCTCACCTCTGAGCAATTCTTTGTGCCTTCCTGTTTCATTTTCAGACAGCACTGCTTCCTCAGAGAAGCCTCCACCCACCCTGAGGTTAGGTCCTCTGCCCACACTCTCAGGGCACAGGCACCCCTCTCTCGCCTGGCTGTAACCACCACACTTGTGTTTGTCTATTCCCTCCCTAGGAGGGTAGGGCCACATCTGTCTCCTTCCTCACTGTATCCTGGATTCAATGTCTGACTCAAGGTAGACACTCCGATGCAAGTCTGACCAGTTAATGATTTAACAAATGAAAGTGGGCACGATTCCAAGAAAGAGGGCAAAGGAAAATTCATGACATAAAATAGGGAAGGAAGAAAGGGAGGAAGGGAGGGAACAAACTAGGGTGAGACCAGGGGATGGGGAAACAGTCCTGAGAACACAGAAAGATATATCAGTAGCTGGTTTAGGAAAGGAGTTTTAACATTTACAAATCACTCCCTGACCCGCACCGTTCCCATCTGCAGGCTGTCAGGTCTTTCAGGGCAGAAAGCCCATTATCTGGAGCAGGCTCTTGTTTTTTTTAAAAAAAGTTAATTATGACACTTTTACAATGAAAAGTGATCAATTAGGTGGAGCTGTACAAAACTGCCATATGGGGAGCTCAAGAATATTGCCGATATCAAAATGGTTCATCTAATATAAATAACTTACCCGCATCACCTTGCAGTCTGTTAGTATATTTTTAAAGAAACACATTTGTGGCTGGGCGCGGTGGCTCATGCCTGTAATCCCAACACTTTGGGAGGTGGAGGCAGACGGATCACCTGAGGTCAGGAGTTCGAGACCAGCCAGGCCAACATAGCGAAAACCCATCTCTAACAAAAATTAAAAAATTAGCCAGGCGTGATGGCATGAGCCTGTAATCCCAGCTACTTCGAAGGTTAAGGCAGGAGAACTGCTTGAACCCGGGAGGCGAAGGCTGCAGTGAGTGGAGATCGAGCCACTGCACTTTACCCTCGACGACAGAGCAAGACTACTAAAAAAAAAAAAAAAAAAAAGAAAAGAAAAGAAAGAAAGAAACGCACTTTACCCTCGGCGACAGAGCAAGACTACTCAAAAAAAGAAAAAAGAAAGAAACTTTTCTATTTATAACACTTACTGTTACTGTGTCTGAAACAGTTCTATGCCTTTATTTTGGAGATGAAGAAGCTGAGGCCCAGTGGGTGAAGTCACTCAAAGTCACAGGAGGAGGGAGGACTTCAACCCTGGCTCCAGAGTCGGGACCTTCCACCACTGGGCTACACTGCCTTCCAGAATGCTTCCTAAGATTGCGGCTTGGACACAGCGACTGCCCCACGGATACAAAGCGAGTAAGGAGCCGCTTGGCCGGAACCGGGTGTGCCTGACGCCAAAACCCCTGCACCTCCCCCGACCTCCTTTCTTAGAGTCCACTGCCTTTCGGCCCCCTCCTCCCCTTCCCACGGCCCCGCCCATTTTACAGACTGGAGCCCGAGCTGGAAAAGGCCAGGCTGCTCGTCCTGTCTGCGGAGGACGTGGAGCAGCGGGGCTGCGGGGCGGAGGGCCGGGTGGGGCTGGGGTCCGCCCAAGCGCCAGGGAACCGGCAGCGCGGGGCTGGTGCGGACGGCGAGGATCCCACCGGACCCGGGACGACGCCGGCAAGGACAACGATAGAGGGCGGAAGGTGGCGGAGGGCTTACTCCAGCCCATGGCGCCTCTCCAGTTCGCTGGCCCCGCACGCCCGACCGGACCCCGAAGGCCGCCTTTCACTCTTCACCGCCGCTCCTCAGCGCGTCCCCATCGGAATTCGGGAGCCAAGGCAACCGGGACTCTACGGCGGCCGCGCGGGGCCAAGATAGGCCGCGTTTCCTGAGCTCCGCGGAGGCGGCAGGAAAGACAGTGGTGAAGGGGCTCTGGAGGCAGGGGCTCCCCGACCCAGACCAGTCTTTGTCCGCGTCCCGCCTGCGACTGGCCACAGACTGCTTCCCTCTCCCTGAGTCACAGGTCCAGACTGAACAAAGAATCAGGACATTTCTCTTTCCTGTGCCTTCAGGCTTGTCTTTCAGACCGCCGTGGACTTTGCTTTTCCTTTTTGTGTTTGATTTAAAGTTTCCAGAGCCAAGAGGTCCGGGCTTGCCCCCCCCACCCCCCCCCCCCCACTCTACCAGGGGGATGAGCTTACACTTCCTTGTCTTCAGTTTCCACATCTGTAAGATGAGAAATAATAACCTAAGATGATCACTGTGAAGCTTTACTTAGATAATTTGAGTGAATGAAAGACACTATAAAAACAACAGGCTCACTATAAATGTTCATTGTCATTGTCATATTCCATCTTTTTTTTTTTTTTTTTTTTTTTGAGATGGAGTTTCGCTGTTGTTACCCAGGCTGGAGTGCAGTGGCACAATCTCGGCTCACCGCAACCTCCGCCTCCTAGGTTCAAGCAATTCTCCTGCCTCAGCCTCCCGAGTAGCTGGGACTACAGGCGCACCATGCCCAGCTAATTTTTGTATTTTTTTAGTAGAGACGGGGTTTCACCATGTTGACCAGGATGGTCTCCATCTCTTGACCTCGTGAACCACCCGCCTCGGCCTCCCAAAGTGCTGGGATTATAGGCATGAGCCACTGCGTCCGGCCCATATTCCATCTTTTTAAAGTTACTGTCCAACACCCATTTCCTGCTAACAAGTTTTCTAAAAACTCCACCCAGTATCCCCTCCATCAATTTCCCTATTATCCACTCTCTTAACTGTAAAATATAGGAAGTATAATATATCTCCTACAGCCCCACGCCCCCGTCACATTTCCCCAGACCCCTCTCTGAAAGTGTCCAACGTGCCTTCTCCCATTCTAAACTAGAAAGCACAACAACAAGCTCATTCATCCTCAGATGTTAGTGTCAGCACTTTAATGCATTAGCTTTCCAAGAATTTTTTTTTTAAGTACCATTATTGTGAAAGGAATTATAACTCTTTACTCCATTTGCAAAAGAAAAAGGAGGGGGGCAATATGCAAAAATAAAACCTTCTCCCATCCCAGTTCTTGTAAACAGTATGGAGTGTGTGCTTCTTATCTTGATAAGTGTATTATGTTTGCATTTTAAAAGAAGATTCCTAGAGCAATGCTGAGTGCAAAGAAATAATTTTTAAAGCAAATAGCTGTTAAGCATTTACAGCTGGCAATTATTAGAGTTTGACAGGTAGAGACAAGGTCGTAAACGGGCAGAGAGGCAGGAAAGTCTAACAGAGTGAGGTGATGGGGGGAAGCAGATGCATCAGTCTGACAATAAAGAGAGCTAGATAGAAGGGGTCTTTGAACAGTAAGAATGAGAGATTAGATCGGGGTAATGGGGGCCTTAAATGTCAGGCCAAAGGAATTGAACTGGAAGAGTGAGATTTCAGGCACTATTTCCCTGAATATTTGGATTTCCAAGGGGAGAAGTATTTAGATTTCCAAGGAGACCTCCCAAAAGTCACTAAAACTATAAACTTACCTGACATCTACTATTGTTTTTCTGAAAGCAGGACAGTGTGAGATGAACAGTATGAGCTCTGACACTGGAAACGTAGGTTAAATACACAGATTTATCATTGTGTGGCATCTGACAGATGACTTCACCTTTGAAAGGTGAAACTTCTCTATTTCCGCATGATGATGACAGTATGGGTAAACATCTATGGCCGTGCCCCTGATAGGTCTGAGCGCTGATGTCTGATTACTTGCAAAGGAAATAAAATACTCTGAGCAGCAGGCAAGTTTAGCAAATACGCTGGTGTTTGAACTGTACATTTTAACAGCAAGGAGCTTATCAAGGTTAAAAAGAATCCAGCTTCTGGAAGGAAGCTGCTATTGGGTAGCAAGGTTAGTTTCTAAGCTGACAGAGGCATGAGGTCAGGCCTACTATAAGGGATCTCAGCTTGCAGTGAGCTAGGATTGCACCATTGCTCTCTAGCTTAGGTGACAAAAAGAAACTATGTCTCTTAATAAAAAATGGAAATAATAATAAAAATAAAGGATCTCAGCCTCTGGATCAGGAGACAAAAGGAGGCAGTCCAGAACCCTAGAAAGTTCTCAAGAGCAATTGCAACTCAAGTGTTTGATATGTTGACTCTAAGCTTTTATCCTCACTCTTAGACCTCCTCACTGTTGACCTAAAAAAAGAAACTGAGGTAAAATTAATATAGGTAGAGAATTTTATTTGGGCCAAGGTTACGGACTGAAGCCTGGGAAACACTGGGAAGTGCTCTGGAGAACAAAATTGAGGTTCCAGTTTTAAAGAAAAAAGGACTAATTAGGGGAGGGGTGACTACGAAAGTTGTTTGTTAGGAATTCTCACTGGTTTACAGAAATGACATTGATTAGTTATTGGATGTATATTGTTAAACTATAGGGAATGAGTTATAATGTCCAATGTATAGCATTGTTAGGTTAATCTATAGCCATTGATGGCAACACTCAGTCTAGAGTTTGTATGGCAGGCAGCTTAGAAACAATGACTTAGCTTAAAGGGATGGGGGACTAAAACTTGACTATTGTCACATTTCAGTGCCTCTCTGGGCCCGATCATTTAAAGGGGGCTTCCATTCCTCAGATAGAAATGTTCTTTTTCTTTCTCATCACTCTTGAACTCTCAATCTTACTCTTAAACTCTCTACTTGTCAAAGGACTGCTGTGGTTTGAATGCTTTTGTTCCCTCCAAAATTCATGCTGAAACTTAATCCCCAATGTAGCAGTATTAAGAGGTATGGCCTTAAGGAGGTAATTGAATCATAAGGGCTCCACCCTCATGAATAGGATTAGATGCTCTTATAAAAGGGCTTGCCAAAGAGAGTTCACCCCTTTTCGCCTTTTCTATCCCTTCTGTCATGTGAGGACAGAGGGTTCCTTTCCTCAGAAGAATGCAGCAATGAAGTGCCATCTTGAAAGTGGAGAGGCTCTCACCAGGCACCAAATGTACCAGCACCCCAATTTTTTTTTAGACACAGAGTCTCACTATGACACCCAGAATGGAGCACAGTGATCATGGCTTGCTGCTGCCTCAAACTCCTGGGCTCAAGCAGTCCTCCTACCTCAGCCTCCCGAGCAGCTGAGACTATGTGCGTGCACCATCATGCCTGGCTAATATCTTTTTAGATTTTTTTTTTGTAGAGATAAGGTCTCGTTATGTTGCACAGGCTGGTCTCCAACTCCTGGCCTCAAGAGATCCTCCCTCCTGGGCGTCCTAAAGTGCTAAGATTACAGGCATGAGATACCGCATCTGGTGCCTAGTGCCCTTATACTGGACTTTCAGCTTTCAGAACTGTGAGAAATAATTTTTATTCTTGATAAATGACCTAGTCTTAGATATTTCGTTATGGCAGTACCAACAGACTAGGATGTGTGCCTTGGATTTTTCCTGTTAAATTTTATATCCGTGGGACTCAAGTATTCTGTTCATTCATTCATAAGTGAATAAACAATGGAGCTGTCATTCTACTGGAGAAAAATCTCTAAGATATTTTTAAGCACTGTGTGCTCAACACTGCCCATGTACTTTGAAATTACTAACTTAATTAATTCTCACAATTAACCCTCAAGTAGGTCATATTGTCATGAACATATTACAGATTAGGAAACTGAAGCCCAGTGATTTGTTT